CCCCAGAACCCTTATGGACTCTTCCAACTGCCAGTTTCCCCTCCTAAATCCACTGTTTGGCTCCCTTGCACAATTATTTGCCCCACCTGCCCAATTTGCCCCCTAAGTCCCCTGCTTACCCCCTGGCCCCCCTTATAATCTCTCAAGACTCCCTGGGGGGCTTTGGGGACCTCCTTGTCCTTCCAGTTGCACCCAACCCCTTCAATTGCCCCCCTATTTGTCCCCTAAAGCCCCTTTATACTCCCCGAAACTTCTTTTTGGCTCTGTATCTGCCCCAAGACTCCCCCCAGGGGGGCTTTTGAGGGTCTTCTGACACCCCCACTTGCCCCCACCCTTTTATTTCCCCCACCCTTTTATTTTTGTTTCTCTCCCTGCAGCCCTCGCTGGGCCCCATCACCCTCCATGGCTCCCTCCTTCTCCAGCACCTGCTGCATTTCAGGGACCCAGGGCCGGTTCTGGCAGGGTTGGAGGCGCTGCCCCACCCTGCGCTGGCTGCCCTGGCCCGCAGCCCCCCTGGCAGCCGGGTTTGGGACGCCCTCCTTGCCTCACCCACCGTCCCCACCCGTGCCCGCCGCCGCCTCCTCCGCAAGCTCAAGGTAGGGGTGGGGTTCCCCAGTGCCAGTTTGGGGCTGAACCCCCGCTTTCAGGGTCCCCCCCCAGCAGCATTTTGGGGCCAGATCCCCATTCATGGGATGTTCTGGGGCAGTTTCAAGCCCTCCTTCAAAGCCATATGGTGTCTCCCCATTGAGCTGCATGGGGGTTTCATGCCCCTCCTTTAACAAAATGGGGGTCGGTAGTGGCCCACCATGATGCTTTTAAGCTCCTCCCATTGCTGACATCACTTCCTGCTTTGTACTCACCTCCACAGGGTCACTTCCTCTCGCTGGCGTGTCACCGCAATGGCAGCCGTGTCCTCGATGCCATCTGGGCCTCAGCCTCTGCCCCTGCCCGTGCCGCCATCGCCAATGAGCTGGGTTAGTGCCAGAGGTGGCAGGGGGGTGCAGTGGAGGGGACCCTGGTGTCTGGGCTCCACCCTGACGTCCCCTCCCCCGCAGTGTCCCAGCACCAGGCCCTGCAGCGAGACCCCCATGGCCGGGGGGTGGCCCGGACCCTCGCCCTTGACCTCTTCTGCCGCCGCCACCGCCTGTGGGAGCAGCTACAAGCGGCCCCTGACCGCCGCCGGGGCCTCCTGGAACCCCTCCTGGAGGACTGACAGACCCCAGGGGCATAGAGCAGCGCCCCAGGCGACAGAGAGGCACCCTCCTGGAGGACTGTGGGACATAAAGAGGAGAGGCGGAGAGAGAGAGCTCATCTCCTGGGTTTCAGCAGCTCCTGAGGTTGCAGAGAACTAGAGATGCCAAGCGCTGCTCTGGTTCTTCTGTCCCCCAATCTTGTCTGCTCTGGACCACCAAACTGTGGAGTCACTGGAGGACTGCTGGCTAGAAAGGCACCTGCACCACAGAGCCGCCAGCGAACTCACCACCAGAGAGGGTGGCTCCAGAGCCCTTCCTCGTGAGCACCATAGAGTTTTCTAAGGGGCGGGACCACAGTGACACTCTGGTACCTGTTGCCCGACCCTTGTCTGCTCCTCTGCTCCTGCCCTCCCAAAGTGTATTTTTCTATATAAATTGACCTT